CGGCGAAGGGGCAAAGCCCAATGTAAATCACTCCGGTGCATATTCTATGTATATGAACAGTTTGGTTGTTCACTCTGCTATATCAGATTTGAATCAGTTAATAGACTCCGGCCAGCTCGGTAGTCAAGTGGTAATACGCCTGCCTTAGTGTAGTAGGAGGTCGTGGGTTCGAGTCCAGGCCGAGTAGTTTGTGAATTTTGTTCTACAAACACTCGGGAAAACACTGCGTATACAATGTTTATAAAAAACATAACAGGCAAAACCCGTTGTTGGAGTTACAAGCAATTTCATTTCCCCGCCAAAAATGGGGAAAAAACATGCAAGGAGTTAACCTTACATTTTTTAAAAATCAAATTGGGCAAAAGATTGACTAGATTGGAAATGACTGAGAAATACCTTTGGATGCAAGATGAATATCAATAATTGAAATGTATAGGCTAATCATAAAATGGGCAAAGAAGATTCACTTTTGGAACAGAAATTAATCATTTTTCACTGTTTTCTCGCCACATATTCGACGCCATATTTCTTTTTAATTGCACCATCCAGGCATCATGAGGCATCTTAAATGTCCACCAAGTTTCAAGCAATTTCCTTTTTTTCGGCCGAAATTAAAACGTTGTAAGGGGTTAACTTTACATTTTTAATTAAAGTTGGTCAAAACACCGACTTGTAATTTCTGGTAACGAGTCAGATGCCTTTTGATGCAAGATGACTAGGCCTACTACTATAGTATATATATATATATATATCGATAGGCTAGTTATTTTGACGATTTGGGCCAAAGAATATCAATTTTGACACCAGAAATAAATATTTTCACTGCACTTTCACCAACTTCTCGAAGCCATATTTCTTCTTAATTGGCACAACCGTCAAGAAATCGCGGGAATGTGTTACAGTGTTTCATTTTATAGGAGAAACCATGCCTATAGGTATTCTTGATGTTGTGCAAGCAAGGATTCCACGCCAGTCTCATCGTTAAAATTCAAACCAAATGACCCTTTCCATGAAATATTGGCTTTAACGGCAGAGCGTTCGCTACACTCATTATGCTCGACCTGACAACACGCCCGTTCTGCACTGCAGTCTGTGGTTATGTCCCTTTCTTTCCACTAATCCTTCCTGGCATTTTGTAGCGTCACTGTTACTATGGTTACTTGCTAAAATACCCTAATAAATAATAAGGCATGTGCGGCATTCTCGTCTGCACGATAATAATAAGCATTTGCGAGCGTCGTCTTTAGCATAATGATAGTGGAGGGGAATCGTTACCGTCAAAGAAGGCCCTGGAAAAAACGTTATTGTGACTATCACAGTTTAATATGGTATAATGACATTGATTTTGTAGCACTGCCACTATTACCGGTATGCCTTTTTATACGCAGACCGACCACCTGGTAAAATTGATACGGTAAATGTGAAGAACCGTATATAAAGAGCAATGCATAATGCATGAAGACCTACATGGGTTACTCTGAAGCAATCTTCCACACAGGCTCCGCTCACGATGACAAATAAAATACCTCAATACAGCGAGAATTGAGTTCCCTGCCGAACAATTATTCAACTGATTATCTTCGAAATTATCGATAATTTTACGTTCACTTCACTCCCCATCTTCATCCATAGCTGTAACTGCATGTGTTCTGCGTTATTAGCTCTGCCAACTCTGCCCACTAGCTGACAATTAAATTAGTTAGAACCTATCACGTTGGAGGCGCATTATGTACCTTTGACATTTCTGTACACGAGCAAATTTCAAATTCTAATTTCCAAAGAGTAAAACTCGGGACCAGACGATTTAGATTGAAAATCACCGTTACTTCTGAAAAAAGAATCACTTCGGTCGAAACACTGAGCTATTCCATCGAATGAATGTGCACACTAGGTGCATATAGTTTCAGTGGGATGGAGTGAATTTGCACTCGATTTGATAGAATGGAATGAAGTTTCACACTTTGGAAACAAGATTTATCTTTGCAGTATTCGTTCTTGAAGATCAGTTAAAAAAACATCAATCATCCTCGGTCCAATAGTTCATTCAAAATATTTATCAACAACATGCGCGCAAACATTGTTTGCAAGTGCCTTCAAAAATTGTGACGCTAGAAGCAAGTAACGAGCTTGCACTTCCTATACACATTAAAGGATGTTTATTTCAGATCCAAAATACTGCTTATTCAAACTATACCGCCCCAGCGCGGGCCCGGGAGTTGGTGCACTACGGTGAACGTAAGTTATGTAACATCCCATCTTCTCAGATTCCTCGGAAAACCCTCGTCAGAACTTGAGAAACATAGGGCCTACATTTACCATAGAAGGAAGAAAAATCGAAAGAAAAAAGAAAAATCGAAAGAAAAAAAAGAAACACACTCAACCGCACCGTCACGGCTAGAAGTATATAATTCAATCTAAGTAGAAGCTGACGGATGATTGATGATATTTGGTACACATAACAGTAACAATCTCCTGACGATGACTAATGCAGGCTAGTCGAAACGTTGAGACCAAAGACAAGTTCTTTTAGAACTTAAAGCAGGACTGTTCTTATCAGAACAACACTACTTAGCGAAAGTTGATAATAAGCAGCACAAGCTCTTTTCAGAACTAAATATCTTCTAAGCAGTAGTTATTACCACATGGTGTTACCGCAAACCGAAACGATACTGATAGTAACAATCAAGGCCAACATCCAAATAAGGAAATTATTTGACGATTATGAATCGACAAACGTGACAAGAGTTGTCTCATAGATTGAGTAGCGGCTAACGGTACCTTGGGGTATGTACAGTTTATTCCACTGCACTTCCATACAACATACATTATTTCAATATACGACAAGGTGCAAAACCATTAATGGAGTGTACCTAAGGTCTGTTGCAAAACAATATAATACATGTCCATGTTTGTACATATTTTCCGATTTCATTAAGAAATTTTCTTTCAGATTCATCATCGGAAACCCATTAAAAAATTAATGTAGGTGAACTATAAGGGGGAAAACGGTGGCGATTTTACTCCGATTAATCTCCCAAGGGTAAATCAATCTACGTCTACAAGTCTCCACGTTTGTAAACAACATAACGCGTTGCATTCTGTCCAGCAAATGTACATGTATGCACCATAGGCCCCTGGTCACTGATAAACTGGATAATTTGGACATAATGTTGGTTTGTTGGGAATACACCTGCTCATCGTCCCCGTAGAAAACGCACTTTGCCCTGTGGTGCCAATTGGTGTAATAACTTGCCCCAATCGCCAATTATCACACATGCAAGGCAGATGGTCTGGTGACAATACCGTAACTTCCCCCAGGAGGAAGACGGGGAAATTGCAACCTGAACGTCCAATGCAACATCGCACCTTCCCAACACACAAACACCTGCTAGATCTCCATCTGCTCATCTTTTACCTTTTTAATTTTGTTTTGGAACATCAGTTTCAGATAATGAATTACAAACATGATTCGGAAATGCAAAATCTTTTTATAACTTTTCTGCAACGGCAAGCATGATTGGCGTGTTTCATATCAAGTCACGTGATACCAATAGAGCCTTGCACGGTGCGCCCTCACTGCGGTCCCATTTTGCTATTTAAAATACGTTACGATGAAAAGACAAAATGTCTACTAACATCCATATCACTGAGGAATAAAGACTTGTCCTCAGATGTGACGTCAGAGGCAATGGGTCTATTTTGTTCTCTTAAATCAAGGTGCAATGTTATGTACATGTAATTTAAAGATTTGTAATAGTTTTTAAAATAAATGAATTAAGTGTAGGTATATTCTTTTCCTCACTACTAAGTACATATTTTTTCTAAATTACTGCTTACTTACTTTATTTTTTTGACGAACCTGTTGATTCTAATACTCTTTGTCTATAGGAGGTATGGGATAAGTTTTTAAAACTGTTTCTGCGTTATCCCTGCTTTTGACACTGAATGGGGGACTCTCTATTTTTAATTTTTAATTTACAGATCTACATAATTACTTTTTTGTTTGTTGAGTCTAAACTAATCCATATCATTTTTATGTGGAAATTGCGAATACATGTAATTCAAAACAACTCAAATAAAAAAATTCATGCTTTGAAACAATGCCAAGACTTGTAAATACAGAAAACGCATTGGGAGAATTTAGATTTGGAAATGCCAATGAAGTTGGAAAAAATTATTATCAAATAATTACCCGACCCTGTTGCATGTTAGAACAAAACTCCCTTGCAAATATAGGTCATACTATGAATTTAGGGTCCAAAGTGTGACTTTGTTAGTGCCTCTGTCATCAAGAATGACTTTAAACGACTTTTTATAAGTTGAGTAGTTAGTTTGCTATCCATAATCACGGACGACTGCACCAAGAAGTGCATCAGAATTATACATGTCAGATGCAACAGGGACAGGAAAAAACCGGACCCCAAATATATAGAAAGGGGCACTTCATGCTTTTCCTGGAAAACTGAGGGCACTGTTGCTGTGATGTCATTCCAGGAAGACATTGTTCAGTTTATGTGTTTTCTGTTCAAATTGTGAACCGAAAAATTTGCTCATTCAAAACATGAGAAAAGTTTGCTCACTGGCTTACTGCCATGTACTGTACAACGAATCAGCAAAAAAACCCAGAAAATGAACATTGGCATCAGCATAAAAATCAGAAAGGCACCAAAATACCACTGACAATGGCGAAACAAAAACTTAAAATAAGATTTAATGCGATACAAAGGTGTATTTTCAAAAACTGCATTACAAAAAATCACTTTGCATGGGCCCTTTAACCTAATGAACAGTTTTGAAATCTGAAATGTTCAGACGAGGTATATATGCTCTGCCACAAAGGACCAATGTCATGACTAACCGTTTGCATGCTTTTTACACTCGTTATCATGCAAAATTCTCATGAAAGGCAACATCACATTCACAAAATATTCAAGATCAAGTCCTTCTATTGCTACCGTAACGAAAATAAGGTACTTTAGGGCTCCTATACGACAAAGAACTCATTATGTTATTGGATTAGTTTATTGGATTTGGATTTTTGAGGGCAAACGTGGGTAAAAAAAATGACCAATAACAAAACTGATGTCTTGCCAAAAAAGAAATAAAGTTATTCATTTGCCACAAAATTGATACAATGCAGAACATGTAGGCCTACTACTGCTACAGGTTGAGAAGGTTGTAATGGAGTACAAAACAGATTGGAATTGTGATCGTGAAGGTGCCCTAAAATACACCACCACTGAAAACAAGCACGGTGCAACATTTATAATTACATTCATATAATACATACATACATGTAAACATTATACATTCATAAAATACATCCACTGGACAATAATCCAACATTGTAATATCCATCTGGCAATCACAAATGGCAAAATAAATACATTCATTTAAAAATGAAAGAAAGTAAATAACTTAGTGAGTGGGTACAAAACACCTTAATTGCAAAAGGCTGAAGTACAAGTAGGTTCATTGGTATCTTTTTCCACTGACTTAAAGGACGACAACACATGAACCGGTCTTGCAAAGTGCATCTGCAAATGAAATAGCCGACACGGACATACTCAAAGCCTCTCAAATGGGAAAAGGGGCCGAGACGATGGATAGTGGTGAGTACAGATATTCAGTCTGCATCACCTGTTATGGCTGAAATGGAGAGCAGAGTAAAAAAACCAAAAAACTTCTGCTTCTGGTGAGGACCTAGTATAAGCAAAATTAAAGTACATTTGTAGGCCACCTGCAGACATCGCGGCTACAAAATAAATGCTGGGCCAATATTGGCCTTTAGTGCACAGCAGTGAGCCGCTCTTATGTTTCCTTTGAATTCATCTTGATGCTCAGAAGGAAATCTTGGTCATCATCAATCCAGTTCCAAGTCGCTGTCTTCGCTGTCCTGGGCTTCAGGACCTCGTATGAGCTGCTGCTCCTCCTTACTTGGCAGGTGGCTGTGCCTAAATGAATGGTATACAAGATGCCAAAACGTTATCCATACCTATCAACAGAGTTGTAACGAGTCACTGATTTTTGTGACTCGAGTCGAGTCGAGTCATTTTAAAGAAGTGACTCGAGTCGAGTCGAGTCATTAGGTCAACAAGGTCGAGTCGAGTCGAGTCGAGTCACAGAGTGTGGTCGAGTCGAGTCGAGTCGAGTCAAGTACTTAGCTCGAGTCAATTCGAGTCACAAATATTTGAACACTAAATTACAATAAAAAGCAACAAACACAAGAGAGAAAGAATACAAGGCACCAGTCTATTACGGAAATCCAAAAACATAAAGTATGCTGTATGGTACCCAACCAACAGTTTCCATTGCTAGCTCACGTCACCGATAAGAAGATGTGAAACTTCGGTCTTAAAACTGGTTTGGCTTCAGGTCTAGATTTTGTTGTTCGCTGATCGCTGACAACGTTAAAACCTAATTGCATTATACAAAACTGTTTCTGATTATTTAAAGGTGGGCCCGTCCGTATCCATTTTTTGGTGTGAAATCGGGACATGAATTTAGCCAGCATTCCACCAAGAACTTCAAAATCGCGCGAAACCAATGATGAAACCACGGATTGAGAAATGCGTTTTAAGTCTGGTTCCGGGTTTAGCATTACATGCTATAGAACCACAAGGTGGGAGTCCGCGACACGGTGTATGTTTGTTGTTTCATTATGGAGGAAGGAAACAGACTGCCGCTGTATATAAACGTACATTATTCGCGAACATTAAAGGGAATATACAACATTTGCAAACATCGAAAAATAAAACTACCAAGTTTTTGCGAAATACCTTAACAGGATGTTGGTAAATGACAGTCTAAAGCATCCTGTAAAATTATGGCACCTGGTATACTGTCATTTTCAAGAAAAGTGGTATTTTTGTATCAATTTCCAACGCTGATCGGCCGATCAGCGTTGGAAACAACTGGCTTTTTTTCAAATACTGGCCCCAATTAACCATTGCACTTGTTTGCAATCGATTACAAACCTATGAGCGGGTACGAGCCAGCTAGACTGGTTCCCTGACCTTACAATTCCCCAATGTATGTAAACTGCTCTGTTTCTTCTTATATGGAGTCAGGGAACCAGACTACAGGAAAATGATCGTTTTTCTTGGTTTTTATAGCATTTTCGAACCCAAAACCTCCAAAAAGTCAGTGTAACTATATTTGTTTTATATTTCCAACCCCCCAATTCCATCCATTTCTGAAAATTACAGCAAAAGCAAATGATGTATATTCCCTTTAACGTGACGTGAACAAAAACTGGCAACGCGAACGGCGCAGCGTAAGTCATTGCAAATATTTTTCGCAAGTAAGTTTTGCTTTTATTTTGGGACTCGAGTCTTATTAGCCTTCCTCGAGTCGAGTCGAGTCATTCTGATGAGGGACTCGAGTCGAGTCGAGTCATTTGCTGGCAGTGACTCGAGTCGAGTCGAGTCATTTACCCGTCCGGACTCGAGTCGAGTCGAGTCGCCAAAAAATGTGACTCGAGTCGGACTCGAGTCGAGTCATTGACTCGAGTCATTACAACTCTGCCTATCAACTTAAAAAGAACAAAGTGATGGTGCATATCACCCAAGCTTACTTAAGACACTGCATGATGTTATTTGCACTTAGGCGAGCCCTCAAATTAGAATCCCTCCCCGGACCGTTCGGGGTTGAGCCCGCCCAGTATGTTGAAGGGATTGGGACCTTGCATGGAACCGATCGGCCTGGATTAACTCCACCAGGCTTCTGCACCATGGCTCTGGCTCATCACAAAGGAACCAATTTGCGACGCGCTAATCCTCCAGTAGGCAACAATGACTGTGATGAGCTTCATAGAAGTTGCCGCGGGTAATCCAAGTGGGCCGAATAATCCTCCAACAATGGCCAGACTTCAGTTTATGTTGCCTATTGTGAAACCCTGAGTCACTAGTTTGGACCGATTGGGGTGTCACGCTTCAGTGACCGGGTGGCTTCTGGCTTCGTATCGATTGGGGTGAAAGAAATTAGCATACCGGACCCGGTACCCGAACGGTCTGTTATCTGATGGCTCGCCTTAACCGATGATAAACAAATTCAATTATTGAGAAAACAATACATGTACATTTGGTGCAAACAGGACGAGTGCAAAAAACTTGAGGAATTTATTGGTTTCATCTAATGATATGCTTCCTTTGACACTGCAGATGAAACTTTCATCTGATACTGAACATTGAGCCATAATAAATCATGTTCATGCGTGTATACAATAGGTCCTACATGTACATGTAGCTGTATGGTTTAGATTGGCATGATCTGATATTCTGCATTAAGTGTAGCACATATGATCAGTTTCTGTCAAGACATTCAAGAAGGTTCAGGGCCCATTGGAATGTCTGAAGAGCCTCGACCTACAATGTAGGGCATCAAGACGAGAGAAAGACAGATGCCCTATCAGCAAGGATAAATTCTAGGGTCACATCTTAACTTGTCCAATCTCAGATAACTCCCCCTGCTTGCCAAAAACAACATCCTGAGGGGGTGGGAGTGGGGGTGTGGTGGGGGAGGAAGAGACAGAATTACGGAGGGAGGAGGGGAGGGGGGAGACAGAATTACAGGGGGAGGAGACAAAATTACAGAGGTGGGGGGGGGGGGTGACAGGCGGAGATTACCTAGGACTGAAGGTTTACATGTAGATAGCATCAGTGTCAACAAGGTCTTCACCATAAGGTCATTAAGAGAGATCACTCAATGACAAAATTTATGGTTTTTAATATCAGGTTTTGTCCACTGATTTCCAAATTTACAACACTGAAAACTCGGTGCTGTCCAACAGCTTGCAAGGAATAAAATGACAAGCTGGGGCTGCTTTGTGTCATATAACGACCATGTGTTTAGTGGTGACATCTGTATGAACAAACAGTAACATCTTCATACATCATGACATGCACAATGTACATTATGGTACATGTATATCTGCTGTAGCCAGGAGGCTATGTATATTAATACCAAAGTCAACACCCAAAACAATTTCAGACCAGCTTGGCTCGTAGCCTGAGAAATGATCAGCACTGAGTCTAATCATAGAATTTCCTACCTCCATGGTGTAATAAAGCGGAGCAATTCTAGGGCACTTCCCAGGCTAAATATTGACACAAACGGTGCTAAGGATTGAACTCAGTGAGACTGTTAGTACAGGTTTCGTTTTATGAACACAATTAGAGGAGAAGAAAGCAAGGTAAACTTATGAAAATTGTGTGTGCACAGAATGAAATGTAAACTCACTTGTGGTGACACTGTGATAATAAAAACAACTTTGAAAGTGAAAAGATTGCAAATATGCACTCAACACACAGGATGTACACGTATGTACATAAATGTATTTGAAATGATTCAATCCAAATTATTTACTCTGACAAAAGTGGTTTGAGCCTTTAAATTGTTAGACCCGCTGGTTTCATGTACATAACTTTTGTTATGGGATTTTAATATGATAAGACACTCATTTTTTTTATAATCTGGCTAAGAATCGGGTGATTCGGGTCGGAGACCTCTTCAAGCAAATGAGTAGAGGCCTGTACCGGTGCATGTACACTGTTACAGTACAGTAATTGCATTACATGTAGTTTCAGTACAGGATGTGGTTTATACAATGGAGGAAATTTAAAGGTTTAGTTTGAAAATTCAAGTTAAACGAGACCTAAGGGTTTGCAGGGCGGACATGATGTCATGATCAATGAATGGGAGGTATGCGGTAGCAACATGTGAATGATATCTCTTAGTGAGTTGTGTGGTTCTGAGAAGAACCAGTTGGTTTAACTCCACGTTACGAACAGTGTGCTCTGTTCGTCATCAGGAGACTGCCAGACTCTTGCTGGTGTAGTAGTTTAAGAAGTGGATGCTACATGTAAGTCAGTAGATTGTTGAGGCGGGAGATTCTGGAACAGGAGGCTAAGTTCAGTGGACATCCACTACGTAAACTACTACACTAGCAAGAGTCTGGCAGTCTCCTGATGACGAACAGAGCACACTGTTCGAAACCTGGAGTTACATGTACACCAACTGGTTCTTCTCAGAACCACACAACTCACAAAGAGATATCATTCACATGGTGTTACCGCAAACCTCCCATTTGATTCCTATTTGAACAACTCTTTTTCAATGGTTTATATCAGTGATGGAGTGGCAGTTCAGATGGGTCGAGGGGTGGGAACACATTCTGAGAATCATCCAGGATCCCCTGCCCCAGCTAATTAGACTCACTGTTGCATCCTTCACACGCTTCATTACTTTTAGTTCTACATAATGTACTACATATATGTACATTTACGATCCCCTTCATCGTTCACCATCATCATCATCATCATCATCATCATCATCACTGACTCAGTGTAGCTTGAGTTGGGCACGGTGACAAACATGGAACACATTTCCGTCTGTCATTAGATTGAGTTTCCCCGGTTCTTTTCAGAACCTCACAAACTCACAAAAAAGATTTGTTACAAGGCCCGACCATAAGCTTTAGGGCCTACATGTATGTTATTGTATCTTAGCCATGGAAACCTTCATAAGTATACATATACATGTAACTTCTGTTCTATGCATTTACATGCAAATGATCCACATGTATTCATTGGCAGTACTAATTCTTAATGACCAAAGATGCCTGACAAAACAGACATCACATTGTACCGATAAGACCAGCCAACATGCTTGTCCTAAATGACATGATAAATAACTGTAAATGTTCATATATTTATTAAATTTATGTCTTCCTCTTAAAAATACTGTCCCAGGATTTGACTTGTTTACCGTTTAGCGGTAGCTCGCTAGCCAAATGCTAGTCAAATCAGTGGCGGGCTGGTCAAACTATTGCCTACATGTGTGAGTAGTCCAGCTGGCAAGTCAAAAAATGTTGGGCCACAGCAAAGATGCCAAGGACAGGAAGAAGTAAATCAGTAAATTCAAAAAGCAAACCTGTATCAATTTGTGTCTAATT